AATGGGAAAGAAGCATATATAAAAAAATGTACACAGTAAAATCAAATTTCCTTAGATTACTATGAGAAAATTCCACAATAACTTGTTTAAAAATAAAAGCACATAGTACGTAATTACCATTACCCATTGTGAAGGTATTTATTTTTGGGGAAGAGGACTACAATTTAATATAGATAATATAAAAGCTATTGAATAAAAAGTATTTTTCAAATATTGTGCTTTTTGAAGACAGACCTTTAAAAAAAGCTGTTATCTTCACAGTTCCCTCACAGGTAGTTTATACTTTAAGAAACTTTAAATTTGTTAAACTTTATTTTTTTTAAGAGGCATGTATTTTTATTTGTTTGTTTGTTTATTTATACATGCACTGGGTACAGTGAGAAGCGGGGAGGGTGAGAAAATTCACCAGAGCCAGAGCGGGGAGCAGAACAGGCAGAAGGACCGAGGTACACTGCTGAGGGGAGCAGTGGGCGGCAGGAGAGGTCTGCGCGCCATGTGGGACCCTCCTCCGGTGACCGGGGAGCAGCCGGGGTTCGAACCGGCACCGCGGAGGCCGCGGGCAGCTTCGCAACCCAGCGCTCAACCACTGTGCCACCTGGGAGGCCCTAAATTTGTTAAACTTTAAATGCACCTATTGCTCTTAGAATTATTTCACTTTATTTGTGACAGGTGCCTACTGAAAAAATGAATCATGTCTAGAGCCATTGAGATAGTGGGGAGAAAGGGAAAGACCACTTCCAGCAGTCTCTCATTTAGACTGTGTTTATCAGATTATGGATCTAGGTTAATCCTGTATTCTGAAGACCTAGAGAGATCCATCAGATGCAAAATCATGATGTTCATCAAGTTATTCAAACTTGGATTTTTTTATGCTCATTCTTACTATCATTCTACTAAAGTTTGCAGAAAAGATTTTATTTTTCTACATATCTATGTAATTAATGTTCATTGTGGGACGAGTAGAAATAAAGACAAACAAAATTAAAATATCTGTTAATTACACCATTCAGTGGTCACCCCCACTGTTAGCATTTTGACATATCATCCAAATCTCAATTTCAAAATAGAGATTTTTTCAAATTGCATTTTTTTTCATGGTTCTATATACTGTTATAGCATCCTCTAACCGGTTTCTTTCCCTTAACCATGGATTCACATGCCATTTATCATTTCATTTTGTAGCTATACCATAATTAACTTAAATATTCCCCATTATAGAATTTTGGATTGATTTCAAATTTCTATTCTATATGGTATTTTCATGCATGACACATCTTCACTCACCCATAAGTATATTTGTTTTATTTCTCATCTATTATGATTCATGAGACTGTCATTAAAAAGCTTTTTAATAGAAATCATATAAAGGATGGATATTGGCAATTAAAATTGGAAAGTAAATTGTTCACCAGAAAATAATTCTATTTTCTACCACTTTATGTTCTCCTGTTTATCTTTAGTTCCAACAGTGCCTTTTTAAATTTGAAGTAACCTTGCATTATAAAATGGTACATAAGTTTCAGGTACGCATCATTAAAAAGGAACATGATATTTGTCACTGATATTTATCAAAACCTAATACACAAAGTGACACAAATCATAATAAGCGCAATCTTGTAAGTTCACAACTGTTACTATGATTCAAGAAAAGGAATATTGGCAGCACTCTGGAAGCTCTCCTTGTGCCCATTTTTACTTACATGTCAAAGAATAGCTATTATTTTTCCCTCTAACAACATGGCTTGTTATCTGTTATCTAAATGGAATCATAATACATGTTCTCTTTGGGGACTCCCTTCTTTCATACAACCTTTTGTTTGTGACATTTGTCCATACTGTTGAACTTCTGTGTATTCTCATTTCCTTTCTTTGTAGTACTTCTTTGCTACAATCTTTGTTATTGTGAGTGTAAAATAGCAGTGTTTTCTTTCAGTCACAATCTTTTATAATGTGAGGTTGCAGGTTTTCCTGCCTTCACTTGTTTTTTTGTTTACTGTATTTTGACAATGTTCATATATTGTTCCTATGTCGTGACACTGGTTACTCTATTATGAATAAACCTTTCACTTTTGCCCAAAGAAAAGGTTACACAACGGTGACCTTGGTCTTTAGTTACAGAATAGAAGAGTGACTTGTTTTTTCAGTCTCCCAAAAGACCAATTAAAGCTATGTTTTTTGACAAAGCAACATGTCTCCTTGTTTCCAGCAAGTAACACTGGTTGTAGGGTCTTGATCCTTGGTAGTGGCAAAGGAACAGGATACCCAGATTGCAGACCCCAAGAGGCAATGAGTGAGTCCTCACAGAGGGCAGGAACCATCTTTCACCTCATGCTGGCACCTCTGACTTTTGCTGTCTCAACTTTTTTTAAATCTTCTTTCAAAAAAAGTTGACTAGTCACAATTAACTCTTTACTACCCCGTGGTGTAGAACTTCACTAAAATTAAAGCTGACCCATGTTCACCACTGATAAAAGGGTGAGAGGGATGAGAACTTCAGCTTCAGAGCATCCCACATCTACTAGACAAAAGAATGAGGAGGCGAGGTAGGACTGGAAAGGGGTGAGGACTTAATGCAGACATTTTAGTAACACTTCCTCATCAAGCATATGTCGAATTGATGTCTTGAGAATGGAATTTCACCTGTCTTCCCCACACAATTTTAGAATTCTACTCTAAACATGAGAAAAATATCGGATAAGCCCCATGGAAGGGTATGGTAAAAAATACATCACAAATGCTATTCAAAGTTTTGCCGGTTAACAAAGACAGACTGAGAAACTATCACAGCCCAAAGGAGTCCATGGTGACAAGATTACTAACTGTGATGATGTATCCTGGATGAGTTCCTGGGGCATATAAAGAACATCAAGTTCTTGGGCCTCCCAGGTGGCACAGCAGTTGAGCACTGGGTTGCGAAGCTGCCCGCGGCCTCTGCAGCGTGGGTTCGATCCCCGGCTGCTCCCCGGCCACCAGAGGAGGGTCCCGCATGGCGCGCAGACCTCTCCTGCCGCCCGCTGCTCCCCTCAGCAGTGTACTTCGGTCCTTCTGCCTGCTCTGCTCCCCGCTCTGGCTCTGGTGAATTCTCTCACCCTCCCGCGCTTCTGACTGTACCCAGTGCATATATAAACAAAATGAACAAACAAATAAATAAAATAAAAACATGCCTCTATAAAAAAAAAAAAGATTTAAAAAAAAAATCAGGTTCAAAACTAGAGAAATCTCAACGGTGGGTGGAATTCAGTTTAAAATTCAATTCTCAGGCTTCCCTGGGGGCACAAGGGGTTAAGCACAGCACTGTGAAGCTATCGGCAGCCTCTGCAGCAGGAGGTCAATCCCCGGCCATCCAGGGAGCTACCCACATGGTGCAGCAGACCTTTCCTGTCTCGCCTGCTGCTCCCCTCAACAGTGTATTTCAGTCAGTCTGCCTGTTTTGTTTCCCGCTCTGGCTCTGGTGAATCCTCTCACCCACCTTGCCCTGCTGGCCTGTACCCTAAGTTTTGTATGCATAAATAAGTATTTTTTAAAAAATCAGTTCTTTAGTTATGAGAAATATACTATAATAATAATATAGCAGGGGGAAATCAGGAGCCTAGTATATGCAAATGCTGTATACACTTCACAGAGTTTCTGAAAATCTACAACTATTCTAAAATAAAGTTGGGAGATCTCCTGCCCATAACTGACTATACAGGTGCTTCTTTTCCTTCTTTTCCTAATGAACCTGTCCTTTTAAAATATAACCAAAAAAAAAATTATTAAAGAAAAAGGAGAGACCTCCCCCCCACGCCAGCTCCCCTACCCAAAGCAGCATTATGAGCAGCAACCAGCATCTGGTTAAACATCAGATTCTTGGGGCCCAGTTCAGACACCTGAGTCAGCAATGTGGCAGATAACAACAAACCGTGATTTGATCCCAGGACTGAGAACTGCTGAACTGGCAAGAAAGCCAAGCAGTCTGCTGTCAGGTGCTTCTCATTTTAGATGAAGTCATGTTACTTTTTTTTTTTTTAATGGCCAGGAATGAAGAATCATTGGCCTCTTGGTAGCTTCTGACTACACAATTATCACCTTTCTCAGAGGAATGGTATGCCTGCTTCTTTTCCCCTGTTCTTTGAATCTGATCTCCAGATCTGATCTCCAGGACCCCTGCCAGACCCTTTTGTGCTCATTTTTCACAGCTTCTTCAGCACACACAATCTCCTCCACCTCCGATAACACCAATACATAAAGTGTATGAACTCGCAGGTTCCTGGAGGTCACAAATCACAACAGAGTGTGAATTCTGTGGAGGCAGAAGGGACCTGGGGTTTTTCATCTGTGATTTGAGGAATACAGAAAAGCATCTGCCTCATATTTTTGTGAGGATTGTGAGTTAATATTCATATGGTGTAAAGAATAGTATCTGGCACTTAGTGAGAACCCAATCAGCAAGAGCTGGCGCTATTGTTAATGGTGAATGTCTTGCCTCTTAAAAATCTCATCACTTCTCCCAAAGCAACATTGTTTTGTGAACAAAATAATGGCTCTGTAAGATTGGTTGGATTACTATTTCACACACAGAGACACCCCCTTTCAATATTCTAAGGCACCTTGATTGAGTTACAATGTTGAAAATATTCCATGCTATTTACATAATGCTTTTAGGATAAATATAGTGAATTGTTTGAAGAATCCATACCTCTCATGAGTAAATTAATCTAACCTCAAGTCTCTTCCCTATAATTGTGCTATTAATAAATAACATTTTTATTTTTGATGTAAGATTACTAGGGTTCTCCAGATCCTTAGCAGAGTGTCTATTATTCTAAAAGACAAGATTAGTCAGAAAAGAAGTCTGCATCCCAGGGGAGGGGCTGTTGAAACAGCAGACAGGTAAGTGAATATGTTTGAGTAACAGCTTCCAATTTTGCTTATTGGCTCTTTGGAACAGGTTGAATAGAAATGGAACAATTTACATGTCATAAATACACAAGCCTTGAGTGTTTTGGTTTGTTTTCCAGATGGGGATTAACGTGGTGGACTCCGCAGTATCTGGATTAGGTGGTTGCCCTTATGCAAAAGGTGCTTCTGGGAATGTAGCCACTGAGGATTTGATATATATGCTTAATGGCCTGGGGCTCAAAACAGTAAGTTAATTTAACATATTTTAATATTCATATATTCCTTACAAATTCAAATGGGAATGCCTTGTAGATTTGGTAAGCAAATTTGAGGTCAAAGTTTTACTATACTTTTACTATTGACTAAAATGCACACTGGGAAAATACAGTGATTCTTTGAGGGGCTTTATAAAGTAACTTATTTTTATAGATCAATCACCAAAATGCTATGTCACATTTTTACAGTGCTTCATGACCTCCAAAGTACTTTTTCATTTATTATCTGATTTGACATCACACACTTTCTGAGTGAGAGCCTGTGTCTTTGCTGTTACATTTTGCCATTTTATATTTTAGTATGAATGTTTTCCTTGGAGGAAACTGCAATCTTGATTTTTCTCAAAGGATGGCAAACAAGGCTTCTGGAAAAGAATTCAGGGTACTTTTAAAATGGTCAGTGGTGGAGTTTAATCATACTTAGAAGGTGAGATGCTGAATGGCAAGAATACTCTTTACAAAGAGTACCCAAACAGTCATATGCTCTATAACATCTACTAAAATCAGTACCTCGTTTTTCCACATGCTTATTAGTCTATAAGGCAGATTTTTTTTTTGGAGGGTAAATATAAAAAGAAAAGTGTTTGTAGATGATTAGAAGTTTAAAGTACTTTGCATAATATAGAAGCAGCATCTTGATTACAAAATGGAATTTTTCCCTCTCTGTCCGTCTCTTCCTCTTTCCTCACTACCTACACTGATGCTCCTGCAACACCACACTTGCCTATAGTCCCCATTCTGCACCATCCATTTCTCACTTTTACCCCTTGGGCTCACTTTCACCGCCACTTGGAATAGCCTCACCCCTCATATTCAATTTCACCTGGACGGTGTGTCACCACCATCCTTAAAAACTCTTCTAACTCGCCACCTCCCTGGTGGCGCAAGGGGTTAAGATACAACCTATGAAACTACCCACAGCCACTGCAGCAAGAGTTCCATCCTCAGCCAGGGAGCTACCCACATGGTGCAGCAGACCTCTTGTGACTCACCCGCTGCTCCCCTTAGCGGTGTATTTTAGTCAATCTGCCTGTTCTGCTCCCCACTACGTCTCAGGTGAATCCTCTCAACTCCCACACCTCTGGCCTGTACCCCATTTATTGTATGCATAAATAAATCTTAAAAAAAAAAAAAAACAACTCTTCTAACAGTTCCCTACCTATGCCTCTGCTCCATATTGTGGGATTTTGTTCTTAAGTGCTTCCCTCCTAACCTCTGTGCCTCTACCTCTGAACCTAACATAAAGTTATATCTCTGAACCTAACATAAAGTTATATAATGATCTTATTGCTTTGTTTTGCATGCCCTGCAGCCAGAGAGCATTTATTACAACTTATTCATACTCATGTTTATTGCAAAGAGATGCTCCATAATATTAATTCAAAGACTGACATCATTAGGCACTAAAAACCCAAAAGCTATTGCCTGCCTTCTCTGGCTAGGAATATTTTATTTAAAAAGTAACTTAATTTCCATAACTTAATAATATCAGAAACATAGGACTATCAAGAAACTGAACAGCAATAATAATCCTTTCTTGGAGATTGAGAAAACTGAATTGAACTCAGCTGATCCTTAATATGTATCAGGCCATACAGGCCCCAAATGCATGTTAGTCATATCCCATTCCTGAGAATTTCACAATTCAAGAATGATTGTTACATGGGTAGCAACTACAATTCAACCAGTATCCCAAGCTAACAAGCCAGGATTCTCTGTAGAACTCAGTGTCACTCTGATTCTCATGCCCAATCATATACAAAGAGCTGCTAATTGGACATCTAAAATATATTGGGGGCCTCCCTGGTGGTGCAGCAGGTTGAGCACAGCACTGTGAAGCTCGCCACAGCCTCTGCAGCATGGGTTTGATTCCCGGCCGGCCAGGGAGATACCCACATGGCACAGCAGACCTCTCCTGTCTTGCCCGCTGCTCCCCTAGGCAGTGTATTTCAGTCTGCCTGTTCTGTTCCTCACTCTCTCTGGTGAATCCTCTCACCCTCCCATACCTCTGGCCTGTACCCCAGCTCTTGTGTAGATAAAATCTTTTAAAAAATAAAATATATTGTTTGGATGTCTCTCCCCTACTGCCCTTGCTATAATTATGTCAGGTTAGGTTTTAGTCACATAATTATGCTAGGCTTTACCACATAATATGGCTTATTACATCTTTTCTAGCCATCTCTGCCATGATTCCTCACATATTCCATAATATTTTTCAGATGTCTTTTACTATCCTTCTGTCTATGGAATCACAGCCATCCACCTCCTCAATGAATCATACTCTTCCTAGAAGACTCAGGTCAGGACTTACACCCTTCCTTCACACATTCCTCTTTGCTCTGAGAACTGACTGCCCTGTGCCTCTGCCCTCACAGCCATTTTGGGTCTCCCTCTATCAGTGACTTACTGTGTAGTTCAGGATTTTTCTCTTTAAGGGTCCATCTTCCTGCTTTGAACATAAGCACCTCAGAGACAGAGGTTACCTTCTACATGAGGTTCTCAAAATACAGAATGTCACAGTACTTGAGAAATATTTATGTATCTGATTGAGCTGCACTTATTTTTAAATCACTTATTTCATAATGATATATGTTCGTTCAGTGGGAAAGAAAAGTCAAAGTGAATTTTGTCTTTGGTATGACGTCAAAAAATTTCACTACGTAAGTCTTATAAATAGAATTCTTGTTAAGGGAAGAACATTAGTGAGTGAAATCTTCCTAGGGTCCCTTTTTCAGTGTAATTCAGAAATGAAATATAAATGTAGTTATTTATAAAATTTAAGTATCATTGAGTTAGAATGTTAACCTAAAATACATGTTAAGGTACTCAACCTAAAGCTTTATTGTGACAAAGCCAAATTTCTCAAACCAAAGCAAATACTGGTAACCTCAAAACACTTTATACTGTAGTAAAATTCATTTAAAAGTGTCACTTTACAAAATATTTTTTGATCATTTTTAAAGTAAAATGCAAAGGATAAGGTGATCAAAAATTAATTAGCTACATTAAAATGATAATCTATGATCAGTTATGAAAAGCCCCTATGAGCATTTATGTTTGTCTAAGAAAATGACGTATTTACATAAATATTAAAAACTACTCCCTCATAGAAAGGAAGCCTGATTCTGTTCAATTTTAAATCCACATTGTTTCTAGTCCATGTTGAGGGAGGTCATAGAAGCTTATAAAACACTGTATGAGGGCAAATCTCTGGTTAATCTGCTTAATACTCTTTCTCCCTCAGTGACAGCAAAGGTGCTGGATAGGGACCTTGATGGTGACCTTTTGTTACACCAAGATGGAGAGATGAGGAACATGCACTGAACTTGGCCGTCATACCCAACTGCTTATCTGTCATCCATGGATTTATCTAAGCCTTTGTTGATCCTATTTATGCTTTCAGACAGTCCAGCCTCTCAGGCAAACAAGTTCCAGATGTATACTAAATACTACATTTTATTTCACCTACCTCCTTCAATATCATATTAGCGATAAGATTCAATATCACTGGTGTTCAGAAACATTATTATTTCTGAATGTGCTAAAAAATTAGGGACCACCTTTCCTATATATCTTACAGTTTTATGAATTTGTTTTTTTTTTTATATTAAGGGGATTTTTTCCTTTTCCTTAAGTCCTTATCTATAAATCTGCCAAACCATTATCACTTTAGTTATCCTTCATTGAAAGTTTACAGGTGGATTCCAGTTCCATTAGTGTCCTTCTAGAGTTTAGGTTTCAGCCTGAATTAGCCTATGGCTTTATACAAGGGTAAGCATCAAGACATCGTTTAATAAAGCAGAAAAATCTAATAAAACATTCACTACATGATTCATGAGAACAAATGTTGTCTGCAAGTCAATAATGGCAGCAATTTTGTTTGGTAATTTTAAATGGTTTATCACTGATAAATTTAAAGTGAATCTATTTTGTTTTCCTTCTTGCTCACCCCCTTTCCAAATGATGTCTCTTATTTTCCATACCAGGGTGTGAATCTTTACAAAGTGATGGATGCCGGTGACTTTATTTGCAAAGCTGTGAACAAAACCACAAACTCTAAAGTAGCTCAAGCCTCCTTCAGTGCTTGATGTGAATGAATTTGTGACTCAAGGCAGAGAAGATCCATTTTGGCTACAAATATTCATCTGAAAATCATTACTGTCAACTTGTTCTGAAATGTTAAGTAGCATAGAAGAGTAGAAAAAATACTTTTAAAAAGAATATAACTGGGTGGATTATGAAGTCAGTGGAAAGCAATGCCAGTCGTCAGGTAAACAGCAAGTTGAGGCTAAATAATAGAACTTTAGACGTACTTTGAATTTGTAGTAAATTCTTCTGTTTTGCTCTTCCAGAAATAACTTTTTAATTTAGTAGACGTGAAAATTGACTTCAGATTTCCCTAAGTATCAAATACTGTGTTAATACTTAATCAAGCTGGCTTAGCACAGTGCACGTATCGTCGGTGGTTTATGAGCTCCTGCAGAGTGTGCGAAGTGTGTGGCCTCGCTATTATGCGCTATGCCTCCGGATCTCAACTTGCCACTTGCCAAGTCAGTTAAGTTATGGACCAAGCGCCAAAACGCCATCTGACCCTACATAATTTTTAGCAATAGAACTTTTATATTTCGAGTATGGCTAACATCTGTTAACTATTTCAATGACTTTATCTTGTTCCAAGAGCCTGTGGTCAATGGCAAGATGCCATATCCTGGAAACATATTACGACCTCCCATGTTTGTTACATGCATCTAGTTTACCATACCTTCCCTTTCATCAGTCATAGTTAAAGTCACAGTAAAAACCAGCATGGTGGTGGTGTTGCTTGGCTATAGAGAAATGGGAGGCACAGCTTTGATTCCAATGTCTCCATTGTAGCGATGAGAATAGGTTGATGCATATACAATAATCATCTACATTTGTAATTTTCAGATCACTTCCAAATTGCTCATGGAACTATTGTGATCCTAAAAATATTAAGACATTTCTTAACTCATGAATAAACTATTTTGCTTTGATTCAGGGTACTTTGATTACATCACATTTTTGAGGTTGGCTTTTTTATGTTTATTTTTGATGTTGAAGTGGCTGAAATTTTATCTCTTGGACTGGATACCTTTACCAGAAATAGCCAAGATTAATATATCAAACTTGAGAAGAGTTAAGCAGGAGAATTATGTTAAGAAAAACATTTCTACAACCTATGCAAATCATGTGGGGACAATATTATTACATGTGGGTCTGAAATATCAGTTCCATTATTTATGTAGTCTTCTCCAGTGTTACTGGATGATCTTATCTTGGAATAAATTTGAATAAAACTTGAAATATCAAAGTGAGTACTGTCAACTTTCTGTTCAAAAAGCATCAAAACCACTGAAATAAGAGAAATTCAGTATGATATCATTACAGCTAAGTTAACTTTAAATATATACAATAATGGAGAAGCAGCACAAGGGAAACACTGATAATTGACAAAACCAAATTAATCCCCATGGAAAATGCCAACTCATCAGGTTGTGATGGTGGTAAAACAGGAGGCTATCATCTGGAGGGCTGAGTAACTCTACCTTTGGGTAAATGTCAGTGGGGGAAGGGCAGTGCAAGGGAGTAAACAAAGTCATAGCTCTTTTTTAAAAGATTTATTTATTTATGCATACAAGAACTGGGGTGTAAGCCAGAGGTTCAGGGGTGAGATGATTCACCAGAGACAGAGTGGGGAGCAGAACAGGTGGATCTACTGAAAGACACTGCTGAGGGGAACAGTAGGTAAGACAGGAGAGGTCTGTTGTACCATGTGGATCAGCTCCCTGGCGAGCTGGGGATCGAACTCGTGCTACATTGGCTAGCAATAGCTTGATAGAGCAGTCTCTAACCCCTGAACTACCAGGGAGGGCCAAAGTCATAGCTCTTTTACATGACTGTTTCAGCTCCATCTCCCTTGCGTGTCACTATTGACAAAGTGCTTGCCCCTGTGCTCTGGCACAGTAATGGGACACCTGTCCTAAATGCATGACAGGGCATGCCCCCGTCTTCTGAGGGTACTTTTCCTATCTCTTATGGTACCATGGGTTTCTTAGTTTTGAGTTATTTGGAAAAGCATCTATTGAAGCAAACTGCTTATAGAAACAGCTAAGGACAAAGCGTTGCTGTTTTGAAATAAAACACAAATTCTTCAAAAGGCAGAACAAGCAGTAAAATGCCAGGTGCAGTCTTGCACACATTTAACTGCACACATATCAGTCTATGGATTCATTTCCAAAAATATCTCCCTGCTACCTACTCACACTCATCAGTTTGTATTTTCGGTATTTGTGATCCTTTGTCCACCCAGACTGTTTAAACACCTCTGCTAATGAGAGTTTCTTTTCTAGTTTTTTTGGGGGAAGGCACAAAATCACATAAAGCTGCCTAATGTCCATAGGCAGAATGCCCCTATATTTCAAGTAACCAGGAAAACTTGGAGTCACTATAGGACTCACCCACACATAAAACCTGTACCACAGTGAGCCCTGGGGAAAGGCTTAAGAATGGCAAAGCAATCATGACTCTATTGAAATACATATCTAACAGTCTTCTATGACATCTGCCCGTAAGTCAAAGTAAATATTGTTTACATGTTCTAGAATATGTAATTTATTTTATCACATGTAGATGACTGATTATAAACAAAGACTTTAAGACTAAATACTCTGAAAGCTATTTTCTAAATTCTGAATTCATAAAATTCACAAAGCAAGTAAATGGAAGCTGCCTATGACAAAAAAATCAGAATGCCCTTCTATGTGATTTACCATGATCAACATTTAATAAAGACCCTTTTACATGCACTTAGGTGGCTATTTGTTTTTATATGTATGCACCTTGCCTCTCTAAAATGATAAAATCCAGATAGCCCAGAGTCACAGGTTATTTAGGGTTGAATAGATAAACCACAAATATCTACCGTATCACAACTATAAGAAGATACAAGGTTTGGGAACCAGGGGCCTCCCTGGTGGCATAGGGATTAAGTCTCAGTACTATCACACTACCACACTACCACCGCTGTCACCATCAGCTGTGGCAGTAGACCTCTCCTGTCTTGCCCACTGCAACGCTGAGCAGTGTATTTCAGTAGATCCACTTGTTCTGCTCCCCACTCTTGTCTCTGGTTAATCCTCTTACCCCCAGCACCTCTGGCCTACATCCTAGTTCTTCTACGCATAAATAAATAAATCATAAATAAAAGGTCTGGGAACCAGCCAGGAATCTGAGTTGAAATAATTAGCAAGTGAAGAGTTACTGTGAACACCAATAATCATTTGAATTTGTTGTGGTAGAGTGTTATCAGCTAGGCTCTTTTAAATTTTAGGTGATAGCCCTGAGTGGAGAAATCAAACATTGTACAAAAATGAACAACGAAGTAAACATATATAAAAAAGAATATAAACACAAATTTGAGAAGATATGTGCACCCCTCTGTTCACTGCAAAGCTATTTACAATAGCTAAGTTGTGGAAACAGCTGACGTGTCCAGTGACTGATGAGTGGATAAAGATGATGCAGTGTATGCACAATGGAATACTTCAGCTATGAAACAGACACAATCTTGCCATTTACAACAACATGGAAGGACCTTGAGGGCATTATGCTAATGAATAGCTCAGACAAAGACACATACAGTATGATTTCAGTCAAAATTGAAATATAAAGAAAGCAAATGAAAGAACAAAACAAAACAGAAAATGTTTAGATACAGATAATAGACTGGTGGTTACCGGAAGGGAAGCAGGGGGAGGGTGGGTGAAATGCTGAAGATGCTGATGAATGGAAAGTAAACATTCTGTAGTGAGAATGATACAGGGTATATAGATGTTGAATCATAATTCTGTACCCTCCACCATAGTTTAACTCAGTGGATCAATTATGTTTCCAGCAAAAAATATCTCACCATTCCCCTGCTTTTCTAGTCTCAAGGTGTTGGTTTGCCTTCTGGGCTCCTTATCCCCAGAATCACCCAGATTACAGCACTTCCAGGCCTCATATTCCACACACAGCCTAGTCACTGAAGAGGGGTTTTTCTTCCGCAAAGTCTTGTTTTAAATTCATGAAGAACATTTCTTCACCCTGCCCCAATCGCTCTTCCTGTATATTTCATTGGGCAGACTATCACAGGCCCTTTCTTATACTCTTACATGGAGATTAGATCATTAACACAGGCCAACAAGGTCACTGGTGACCTTGAACTGATGATCAGTGAAGTAGTGGGGAGCCTGGCAGGTGTACCTTTTATGGTAAGACAAGGTAGAGGAATCCAAGGCAGAGGAGTTAACAACTCTAAGGAGCTCTAGCTAATTTCTCAAACAGGAGGAAAGGATAGAAATTGAGTTTTAAAATTTGAGAGGTTTAGGTTTTAAGGTGAAAGTAGCTGATCCTGCTTATTAGGTTTCTACTCATTTCAGGAAGGTACAGAATGAGGTCTCTGAGCATCAGAATTGGGGATGGAGTGACAGCTTTAGAGAATCAAGTTTGAAATCTATCCAGAGCAGTGTTAGAAGTTAACTCACTCTTACAAGTTTCCACAGGTGATTAGGTGCTAAATCCAAGTCCACTCACCTATCCTCATGCTACCTTCACTGCTACTGGACACACTGGCATCTCTTTGAAGTGCTTTTCAATTTCTGAGGCACTGCTCCATCTCATATCCCACCAGCCCTTTAAATGTTGGTGGCCCCCTATCCTTGGTTTAACAATGGATCACAATGTAAAATTGCCTGCACCCCACTAGTTAAGATATATCCCAGGCCCAGCAAAGTTGTCATCACCTGTGAGCTTTTGAGAAATAAAGATGCCTTGGCTCCTCCCCAGGTGCATGGCATCAAAATCTATATTTTGGGGCCTCCCTGGTGGCACAAGGGATTATAATGCAACCTATGAAGCTATCCACAGCCACTACAATAGAAGTTAGATCCCTGGCCAGGGAGCTGACCCACATGGCATAGCAGACCTCTCCTGTCTCTCCCGCTGCTCCCCTAAGCAGTGTATTACAGTCAATCTACGTATTCTGTTCCCCACTCTGTCTCTGGTGAATCCTCTCGCCCCCTGCACCACTGGCCTGTACCCCAGTTCTTGTATGCATAAATAAATAAATCTTTTTTTAAAAAAAGTCTATATTTGGTGCAAGATCCTCACAGGACTGCCTTGCTCAGTGCTTATTTGTACTGGCCTGCTTGACGTCTTCCTGGTGTCACATGGACATCGAAGCTCCATATAGTCTGGCTAGAACGGCTCTCCTCATATACTGTGCTCTAGTTCAGTGTCTTTTCTCTGCTCCTGG